CCTTGACTTAGTTGAGTCGCTTAGCCTTTGAAGCGATGGCTGGCTGAGAAGGGGGGACTTACGATCTGACTATCTTCCCCCCACCCACCCAATCCCCCGCAGCCATATGACTACATAGGCGCTCGGCAACACAGCTGCATTTATGCCTGTTTGCAGTGCGTGCAGTCACGTGACTGCATTTTTACGACGGTTTTACCGAAACCCAACTCTTCCAGTTTTCGACAAAACTGCGCCATAGCAAACAGTGGCTTCGCTTAAGTGGCTACGACCGTTGCATTGGTTTAACAACCGCACAGAAAAGGTCCTAAAATCAGCCTGGCCCATTTTACAGCTTCCGTTACAACCATAGGCCACATGTTAACCAAGTCTAAGAGCAGGTGATCTATATATTCTCTTGTTATAGAGAACCATTTTTTTTTTAATTTCAGGGGCCATAATGCCTTGAATGTATTGTTACTTTAGACAGAGTTTATCAAGAGTTTTGCACATTAAGTGGATATAAAATAGAAGTAAAGCCACTGGGTGCGTGCGTGTGTTCCACCTTCATTTTCCCGAACGAAGGATTTGATATTTGTGCCTCACAAGGACAAACGGTCTCTTTTTCTTCCCAATTATACTTCAGAAGGCAACCTACAAAAGCTCTCTTTGAAGGGAAAACCCTTGGAAGTGGAGACCGGCATTCACAGCAAGCTTTGCGGATATCACGATGACCTTGTCTGTGAAAATACGGTCTGGCTTTCGGTTTCTAGTCGGCAAAAAACGCTGTCACTTTTATGCTGCTGAAAATCTAAGGCAAAGGGAGCAGGATAGATAAAGGATGCTATTAGTATTATTATTTTTCCCCCATTTGATGCTGCGAGGCCTGTCTAAATGTTGCTGTGCAAATCTGAATAATGCTTCCTTAGTGTTGCTTTCTCTTTTTGGAGAAAAGCTTTAGCTGACATAGATGGTATCGTCAGGGGGGTTAGCTTTTCGGTTGCTGCTTCAGATCCACCTCTCCTTCTTCCTTCTCTGTTTTAAGCCCTGCCTGATTTATTTATTTAGAATTATTTCTACATACACAAACACATACATACACACACGCACACAGACTGAGAGAGACTTTGTGCTCCCCAGAGTTGTGACAGCTTGACGCAACCTGTACATTTCCCAAATAATAAAAGATTGAGCCTTATGGAGTCCCCTAGTAGAGCAACATGGGCTCAGCTGTTCTTTCCCTATGACTGCTGACTAGAACCTCTGAGATAGGAACAGGACCGTAGGAGAGAAGCAGGCTGAGCCCAAGGGAGGGAGAGGTCAAACGGACCGTCAGTCAGGAGTCTCTTCGAGCCTGGCAGAGATCTGAGTCAAGCCCACCTTGAATTCTTTCTGTTCTGAACTCCCGCTAATTTCCCTTGACCGTTAGTAGATCAGGTTCTTGTAGGGAGCTCCAGCTTGCCATAAATCTTGATACACATTTGAACTATCTGGATCTCCGTATTCCTGGGCGCTTGCAAGAACCTTTGTAAATGATGCCTTTTCCAAGCCTCCCAGATAGTCCAGGTTGATGGCGCTGAACATTTAGAGCCTGATTTACTCAAACAGTCTTCTCAGCAGCCTTTCCAAGAAGGAAAACTTCAAAAAAAAAAAAAAAAAGAGTAAGAGTTAGAAGGGACCTTGGAGGTGTTCTAGTCCAACTCCCTGCTCAAGCAGGAAGCCCTATACCACTTCAGACAAGTGGCTGTCCACCTCTTCCCAAATCCAGACACACAAACACACACACGTCCTGCCCTTCACCTTGTTTCGCAGTTTAAGACCTGGAGAATTTCTGACTGCCCAACAGCTTCAGGGATTGCGCAACCTGCTGCTGTGTGCTTTTCCGCCTTATTGGGAAAGGCACCTGAAATCCATTTAGTGGTCGCATTTCAATTCTACAGCAGTTTGCAAAGGCAGCAGAAGTTCCTCGCCTCTAGTTATTGAGTTAGCGGTTGCAAAACTGATTTGGCTGCAATGGAGTTTTCAGGGAGTGAGAAAAAAAAAAATTCCAATAACCATCTAGTTCATGGGAAGAATACAGAACGTCTGGCAGAAGGACTCTCTCTCTTTCTCTCTCTCTTCCCCTTCTCCAGATCTCCTTTGAGGTCTGGCTGCTTAATTATCACCATCTGCCTCCCCCCCTCCCATCTCTCTCTCTCTTTCTCTCTTTCCCTCCCTCCTTCTTTGCAACTGCTTTTTTTTGTTTTTTGACCTATCCAACAATAAATTCTGCAGCCTGCGCTCTCTGTTCTCCCCTCCCTTGCAAAAATGGGAAAACCATCACAGAACGTTCCTTGGAAAAAACCATTTTCTCCCGGTTGACCAAAAAAAAAAAAAAAAATCTAATTTGTTCTTAATCACTCTGATTTGTTTGCACGGTCTTGTTGCGTGCGTGCGTGCTTTTTCAGGATCACTTGCCAAGGCATGCTTTTATTTATTTATTTTCCTTGCACGTGTGTTGAAGAAAATAACACCTGCCTCTGCTCCCCTCCACTTTCCTCACCAAAGGATTGAAAAGGAACAGCTTTCTGGCTGAAGCTGCTGTTTTGGAGATGCTCAAACAAACTAAAAACAGAGAAGCTGGGATCAATGCTGGCTTTGTGTGTATGTGCGTGTATATTCTCACCCTTGTGGGTGATTGGTGTCTTCCTCAGTGTTGGAAGGTCTGGGAGGGTCCTTCCTTCCTTCCTTCCTTCCTTCCTTCCTTCCTTCCTTCCTTCCTTCCTTCCTTCCTTCCTTCCTTCCTTCCTTCCTTCCTTCCTTCCTTCCCTTATGTAAAGGCAAATTTCAGCATAGCACAGGCTGTGCATGCCGAAATCTTCACAATGTCCCCCCCCCCCCAAGTGGTCGGAGACTCTGGCATTATATGTTTTGGGTAATTCCCTCACTTCCTACCTAGCAAAAGCCACATGCTTTATGGGCAGTGACGCCGCGGAGGCTTATTGCTTTTTAACAAACTGCTGGGATAAAATTAAAAGCAGACTGAATTATGCAAAGCAAGAGAAATCAGGCAAATTTATTTATAATTATATCCATAATTTATAGAGACAGGAGAATTCGGCTTCTTTGGTGGTGGCAGGATTTGAATCCGTGTAGGACTTCTCTCGCTGTAGCACGGAGGCTTCGTGCAGGGGGCAAACTGTAGGGGATTCAGTGGGGAACTGGCAGAGGAAGCCTTCAAATGGCTTTTCTCTTCCTTCCTGGGTTAAAGAAAGGTTCACCGAGAGACAGGTTCCAGGTCAGCCAAAGAATTTCATAGCTGAGGAGGGTGTACAACCAGGTCTCCCCAGTCCCAACATCCCTCACCAGCTTTCAGAACACAGAACATAGAATAATAAAGTTGGGAGGGGCTTCGGAGATCTTCTAATCCAACCCCCCCCACCCCGCTCGAGCAGGAGACCCTCTACCATTTCAGACCAATGGCTGTCCAATCTCTAATTGAAAGCCTCCAGTGATGGAGCAGCCACCACTTCTGAAGGCCATAGTTTCATTGGTTGATTGCTCTCGCTCTTAGGAAATTCCTCCTTAGTTCTAGGTGGCTCCTCTCCTGGGTGAGTTTCTTGCCTTGCCTTTTGGTGCTTTGGAAAACAGTTTGACCCTGGTCTTTGTGGCAGCCCCTCAAATACTGGAAGACTGCTATCATGTCTTCCCTGGTCCTTCTTTGCCTTAGACTGGACATGCCCAGTTCCTGTAACTGTTCTTTGTAGGTTTTAGCCTCTGGCCCCTTCCTTATTCAGTGAAAGACCGAGGAGCTGTATTTGCAGAGAACTAAGTTTGATTGGTTTTGACTTTTTGTTGGTGGTTTTTTTTTTTTTTCAAAGCAGTTGGATAGTTGATGGCCCTTATATTAATGCAAATCCAGAAAATAAACCCCTAGTATTGGCAGCTTTTTCATTGTTTTTCCCAAGGGGCAAGCCAGAGCTGATGAAAAGTCCCTCTTCCTTTACCCTTTCTGTCAGGGAATATCTCTCTCTCTCTCTCTCTCTCTCTCTGTGTGTGTGTGTGTGTGTGTGTGTGTGTGTGTCTGTAGGTGTGTATGTGAGCACAAAGCTGACCAACTGAAAACGTGTTCTCTTGCTTTGCTTCCCTGGTGAGCCTTTGCAGCTCAGAGCTCTGGTGTGCTGCACTGTCCCTCCAGGGCTCGGGAACCATAAATATTTCAGTGAATTGTCCATCCAGGGATGATTCATTGTCTTTGAGACGGGGAGAGGAGAACTCACATAGCTTTGCAGAGGCTAGAATGTGCTCGGTGAGCTTGAGGGTTAGTGCAGCCCTCTCTGTCCCTTTAGTTTTGAGGATTGTGTGCATGTGTTGTGTGTGTGTGTGTGTGTGTGTGTGTGTGTGTGTGGAGGGGGAACAAGGCCTTTTTAAAGATGAGCCTCACTGAGTGTGGGGGTGCTGGGGAGGGCCTCTCCACTTGCCCTTCATTCTTTATGGGGACACGCGTTTGCTTATTGATTTGATTCTTATCCCAGCTTTATTACTTTGCCGTATGAGTAATTCAAGGTGGGAAACATACATCAATCTCCTTCCTCCTGTTTTCCCCACAACAACAACCCTGTGAGGTGTGCCTTAACAGGATTGCTTAGTTCCCTTAACAAAGTCTGACTTGCCACCATTCCCTGAGCCACCACTCTCCTCTCCTTCTCCTTCGCCTCCTTCTCTTCCTCCTCCTCCTCTTCCTCCTTCTCTTCCTTCTCCTCCTTCTCTTCCTTCTCCTTCTGTTCCTCCTTCTCCTTCTGTTCCTCCGTCTCCTTCTCCTCAAAGAAAAGCTCAGCGAGCGCCAAGGGACCCTCTTATGTTCTATCCATGCCCTGGTTTTGGCTGAGGGCATAAGTCCACATTTCTCCATAAACCATAGTGAACTTTTCAACCGGACCTTACTTCGGAGCCCAAAACGAGCCACGACGGAGCCGGCTTTTGTCAAAAGGGCTGAGACCAGTCACTTTGGGGAGCTAACCATGTTTTCCTTTTTGTCTCCTCAGCTCACTTTACAGAGCACCAAGTCTCGGGTGGCCTTCTTCGAAGAACTCTAGGAGAAGACCCCGTTGCTTCCGGGACAGCCTTTTTTTTTTTCCTATGGAGGACTAGCCATAAACCGAGATGCATTGCTTCTTTCCAGCCAGGAGTCGCAGAGCGACTCTCTTGACGGGTACAGTACTCAAGGCCTGCTGTTGCTGGAAGAGTTTGGTGTGAATCTTTGTAGATCTTTATAACTTCTTTAGAGCCAACAGTTAACGTTTTAGCTTCCTCTCTCTCTCTCTCTCTCTCTCTCTCTCTCTCTCTCTCTCTCTCTCTCTCTCTCTCTCTCTCTGTTTGTATGGGTTGTAACTTGGATTATGCGCCTACTGCAGGAGGCTGGATTCAATATTGTTTTATCCCTTCTCTCGGCCCTCTTTCCCTGCTCTGTGAAGATTGCTTTCTGTCACAAGAGAGAGAAAAATTCCTTTCTCAGCCGCCCACAAAGATTGGAAGTTGCAAGCTGCCCTGGGAAGCACGGACCCGTTTCCTCGGCAGAATTCAGGGCCTGCAACGTTCCGTACTAACGTTCTTAAGTTTCCGCAGGTTTCCCCTCGTTTCCGGTGGACTTTGAAGGGGTTTTCCTTGATCCCGGAAGCCAAGCAAGCCGGGTTCGGTTTGGGATTCAGACTCGGCGTATCAAAAGGCACATTTGGAAGACCTATCGTTTCAATTTTGGGCGGGCGGTAAAGCGAGGATTGAGGGAATAAAAGGAGATCATTTTAAGTGGGTGGATGGACTTTCAAGGCCTGGAGTAGGGATGTCCAACCTTGGTCACTTTTAAGACTTGTGGACTTCAACTTCCATGGCTGGCTGGGGACTTCTGGGTTTTGAAGTCCACAGTTCTTAAAACTCGGACAGTGATTTTAAACATTTTGATAGCCCGGGCACGTCTTTATACATTTCTCTATGCAACATGGACGGTTGGAAATACTGCTTTTCGAAAGTAAACTGAGCACAACACCCTAATGGCTTCATACTGCCTGAAAAAATATATATATATACCGTATATATAGATATATCTCATGCGGGCCATACCATTTCTAACCACAGGGAGGATCTTTGATGGGATCCATTTCTGTTCGGCTTCTAGTCTTTTGAACTTCGGTCGTTTTGAAATGTCATGTTTGTATAATACTTCTGCGAGACGTTCTCTCTTTTTATTAAAGTCTCCGCTATTTTTCATGCTGTTGTGTCTCTGCGTCTCTCTCTTTCCCCCTCCCACCTGCCCCCCCCCCCACGATTTGGAAGGACTATACAGGTAACCCTTGACTTACAATCATTGGTTTAGTGACCGTTCAGAGTTATAACGGCAGTGAAAAAGTGACCTTTTTTTCCACACTTACGATTACGACCGTTGATGACATGATCAAAATTCGGACACTTGGCAACTGACTCATATTTATGACGGTTGCAGTGTCCCGGAGGGTCATGTGACAAGTCAAGTCAATGGGGGAAGGCAGGTTGATTGAATAAGTGCAGTGATTCATTTAATAGCTGTGGCAAGAAAGGTCATAAAGTGGGGTAAAACTCACTTAGCAACTGTCACAGGAATTTTTGGGCACAATTTGTGGTTGTAAGTCAAGGACTACCTGGGATAATCTAAGGCAGGGATGTCCAATCTTGGCAACTTGTGGACTTCAACTCCCAGAATTCCCCAGCCAGCATGGCTGGCTGGGGAATTCTGGGAGTTGAAGTCCACAGGTCCTATAGCTGCCAACGATGGACAGCCCTGATTTAAGGGGTTGGCAGTTCAGAGATGGATTTATTGGTCCAGAGTGTTGTTTCAATTACATCCTGGCCTTGTTCCCAGACAAGGCTACTCTTCCTCCTGCCCTTTTAATCTGTTCTCCATTTTGATTGAACTGCATCTACCAGATTTATGCCTTCATGGGGCGGGGGGGGGGGGAGGAGGAAAGCATCACATAAAAGGGAGAAAGCAGAAAGAAATCGTGGCTGGGTAAACGACGATAGGGACAGGATTAGCCACATCAATGTGACCCCGTTTAAATCTGGATCGTGTAATGTCCTTATCATGGACTCTTTGAAACTCCCGCCGACTTCAAACACCGCTTTGGATTCTGTCTTGTGCCCTCGAGCTGTCTGTCTCCATCCTTCCATCCGCCCACCTGCCTCTATCAAAAGGCTTCGGACTAGAATTCATTGTCTCCTGGTCACCTAGCCAGTTTTGATGGCTAAGGCAGGACTAGAACTCACCGTCTCCTGATGATTGGCCCAGAGTCACCCAGCCGGCTTTCATGCCTCAGACGGGACTAGAACTCACCGTCTCACACTTAAGGCACCGGGTGCCTTAATCACTAGGTCTAACTGGCTCTCCATGCTTATTGCAAGGAGAAGTGGGATGAAAAAGCAAGGAGTAGATTATGAAAAAGAGCAAGAATCCACAGCTGGAATCCAGAGCATCCGGGGAATGTCTGATACAGGCAGAACAGGATGGGTGTCCTACCAGTAGGGTGTTCCCAGTGATGGCTGGAGAAAATCGGGATTTAACCCCTCCTGCTGGCTGGGGAATTCTGGGAGTTGAAAGCCCAGAATTCTGGGAGTTGAAAGCCCACATCGTAAAGTTGAAAAACCTGGATTACAATCTTTGCCATCAACGAGCCAATCCACACTAGGAAGGCTATGTCAAGAAGGCGGAAATAAAACGTTGGAATTGAGATTTTTGATGCTTTTTTTTTTTTTTTTAAATTTTTTTTATTAAACTTGCATGCTGGCCATCTCGCCAGAGGCAACTCTGGGGGGCTTATAGACCCTCATTGAAAATGCACAGCGCTTCTTCCATTCCTCAGTTTTTTCCCCTCATTCCAAGCTTCGGCAGGAGGTGGTGAGATGTTCGTGAGCCAGAAATTGTTATAAATGGCTCTTCTAATATTTGCACTTTAGCGAGCCATTAAAGCCTCGGACACAAACACCAGCAGCTTCCAGTCTTGTTTGCGCTGCTCCGTGCAAACCCAGACTCCCCGTTCTCCATGTGGGTCACTGACCCAACGCACCTACCCACAACTGTTGTTTACCTTCTCTCTTGTTTGTCGGCTATCTTTTCTGACTCCTTACCACTCCACTTAGCTTTTCAGAGAAGGGGGAGAATCTGCCCTCCTGGGAATTCAGCCATTAGAAGTGAACAGCTGGACCTCCCTTCTTTGCTGGAGAGAGGCTGAAGGTTTTGAAGCAAGCAGGCAAAGATGAAATTCAATAGGATTTTGGTTTTTTTTTGATGCCGGGGAATGGGAAAAGAGGGATATGTCTGTGGGCTCCTGAGAACAAGCAGGCAAAAGAGAAAAGATTAAAGAAGAAAGGCCTGACCCAATTTCATCTAGCAGGCGGAGAAGAGAGAAGGATCCTGCTAATAAATAGCACAAGTTTTGCTCTGGTATTTTTGCAATGGGAAGCTCTGAAGTTCGGCCTAGTGGTTAAGGCACCAGGCTAGAAATGGGAAGATGGTGAGTTCTAGTCCTGTCTTAGGCACCAAAGCCAGCTGGGTGACTTTGGGCCAATCACCAGGAGATGGTGAGTTCTAGTCCTGCCTTAGGTACCAAAGCCAGCTGGGTGACTTTGGACCAATCACCAGAAAACATTTCCTTGTAAATGTTTCATTACCAAAGTAGGTAACATCATCTTGCTTAGCCCAGCTAATTCTGGGAACTGAAGTCCCCACATCTTAAATATAAGATAACCTTTATTGTCACTTTTTCTGTGTGCACAGTGGCATGCATTCAAAATGAAATTCTGATGCCCACTTTCAATAGAAATATATATATTTACCCATACATACATATACATGTGCTGTATGTATACATATATATGGGAAAATATGGTAGGAAAACTCCCCCCTGATGTTTGAAGTCTGCTTCTGCATTCTATAGATCCAGCAGCCGGGTTCAAAACTGAACATTCATATATATTATTCACAGTTTGCATGCACAAAGTCTGCTCTGCCAAAGGAGCTGGAGAGGATCTTGGGAGCTCTGCCTATTAATGGCATTAATCCTAATTGAGACTATGCTGTTCATTTACTCAGCAATTCACACCCTCGGATTAAGCCGAGAGCCCTTCACTAAGAGGGTTTGAATTCCAGGGTAAAGTGAAAACAAATATTTTTCCAGGCTGAATATGAAAGGAAGGAGTCAAGGTGACACCTGTAGAGGTCCTGTTTATTTCGGTGTGTTTGTCTGGAGAGCCTCAGGTTTTCTTCCTCCTGGAAGCTTTTCCACTTGACTTCAGTGCTTCTTCTTTTTTAAAAAAAATAATTTTGATTAAAGTTTAAAAATACAAGGATTATAAAAAACTACAAGTAATGCTCGACCTAACGGCCACAATGCCCAACATTAAACAGGCCCTCTAAAAAGCCTGCAGCTGAGTTGTCCAGCAGATCAAGCTTGCATACTTCTCACCTTGATTTGGTTTTGTGCTGATGGGGATGAGTTTGCCATATGATGCCGGCCCAAAGAATTGGCTAGTTCAGTTGCTGGATGATGTGTGTTTTGCTAAACAAGGTTGAGCATTTAGCATGCTCTGTTAACTTGGCTAATTGCATCGTTGGTGGATCCGGTGACATTCATAGACATGCCTGATAGTCAAAGCGTTATTGTACCATCTGCTCAAAAATGACCGCCATCTTTCCAAATCTTAATACACGATTCTCTTTCCAAAAATTCATAAGCCAGTGAACAACAAGAATGAATTTAGATAGTCAAGAATCCTTTCCTTTCCCTTCCCTTTTTCTCTTTTCCTTCCTTCCCCATTCCCCCTCCCCTCCCTTCCCCTGTCAAAGAGAACTGCTCATTTTTGAACCCAAAGCAGCCCTTGGCTTGCTGCAGGGTAAAAAACAAATCTTCAGCCAGTTTGTTCCCACCAGAGAATTTGCATCAGTGCTCAATTTATCCCACTTTGGTGAGGAAAGCAAGCCGTCTTGAATCTAAGCGCTTATGGATAGCCTTTCCCCAGACTTGCTCATCTGCTCTAGATTTTCAGCTAGCCGGAGGGGCACATCCAGACGTGGCCGTTACTGCTGTCACAGACATCTGAAGCTTCCAGGTAGTCTTCAAGGGCAGCCCCACATTATGCACATTGCAGTAGTCCAATTGTGAGGTGACCGGGGCAAGAAAGAATGTCTGAAGGGCCTTCCAGTCCAGGGAAGGGCACATCTAGCACACTGTATAACCCCCTGGTTCTGGGCAGGAGCCCGAAGCTGGCCTCGCATTTTCATTTTCAGAAAATGAAAAAAAAGAAGTCAAAGTCCAGCAGATGGTAGCCACGAATCCTAAAAGAGAGACACCCCCTCCAAAAAATCTTAATTATTGTTTCTGAATATTGCTGGGAATAATGGGCTCATATGTAGGGGCTCCAGAGACTGATATTTTATCCCAGGCTGGCTGTAATTTCTGTAATTTTTAGGATGAAAGTGATCCAGAGAGGGTTTTGGGTTTTTTTTTTTTTTGTAAAATAAAATAAAATTGCTGCCTACTTCATTGGGGACCCCCCCCTTTTTTTTTTTGAGACCAAAAGGTTTTAAATCAGTGAATGTAACAGATCTGATTAATTTGTTGCAGCCCATTTAAGCATCCATCAGCCTGGAGACCAATTAGCAAGCTGTGTTGCTGTTCAGAGGTCTCTCTCTCTCTCTCTCTCTCTCTCTCTCTCTCTCTCTCTCTCTCTCTCTCTCTCTCTCTCTCTCTCTCTCTCTCTGTGTGTGTGTGTGTGTGTGTGTGAGAGAGAGAGAGAGAGAGAGAGAGAGAGAGAGAGAGAGAGAGAGAGAGAGAGAGAGAGAGATTTGTTAAGGGAGTTTTGCCCCATTGTATGACTTTTTCTGCCAGAATGCTGCAACATCATATATGTGAGTTAGTTGCCAAGTGTCTGAATTTTGATCAGGGATGCTGGAACAGTCTTAAGCGTGAAAAACTTCTTTCCCCAGTGCCATTAAACGGCTGCTAAATGAACTGTCTTCTGTCCTCAAAGGACATTTGTCCCAATTACATCCAGCCACCCAACTTAAGCCAGACTCGACCCAGGAGAAGATTTTGAGAAATTCAATTCAATCTCCTGGTCATTTATCGGCTATTACTATAGTTTAATTCCTGGCTCGTTTTATCTCTTCTTGCCAAGGGTCGGTAGCTTCCCTGAATTGCAACAGATTTTTTCCAACTTCCCTTTGCAATCTTTTATCTCTTA